AAAAAAAAGAACAAACTGAGGGTTGATGGAGGGGTGGTGGGTGGGGGATGGGCTAAATGGGTGATGAGCATTAAGGAGGGCACATGATGTGATGAGCACTGGGTGTTATATATAAGTGATGAATCACTCCTGAAACAAATATTATACTGTATGTTAAGTAACTAGAATTTAAATAAAAACCTGAAAGAATAAAAGGACATGAGTTCTGAAATCTGAAGACCAGGCTTCTAATCCCAGACCTCAGTTTCTCCTTTAACATGGGAATGATTATGTGCCAACCTTAAGTTTGCTGAGAGAATTAAATAAGATAATATATACAAGGTGCTTACACACAGAGTAAGCACTGAATAAATGTTAGCTGGCTGTTTATTATCTGAATTTCCCTTTAAATTAATTAAGATGTGTTTTTTAATCAGTTTGAGTCACCATATGGGACTCAAGGTAGTAAAACATTTCTTTTAAAACATCCTGTATCTCAGACTTCATCATTCCTCCTCCACCTCTCCCCACTGGTAAGGATATTGAGGTATAACTATTTAATGTAGAAAAAGAATTATCAAAATTGGTCCTTTTGTTTTTGTTTTTTGTTTTGAGATAGCAAGAGAGTGCGCGTGCGCGCGCAAGCAGGGGGAGGGGTAGAGGGAGAGGCAGAGAGAATCTTAAGCAGGCTCCACACCCAGCATGAAGTCTGACACCGGGCTCGATCTAATGTCCCTGAGATCATGACCTGAGGCAAAATCAAGAGTCAGGCGCTTAACTGACTGAGCCGCCCAAGTCCGCCAAAATTGGTGTTTTTACTTCATATCTGATATACCATCCAAAAGGCTTTCCTTAGAAGCATTTTTCTAGGTGTGTATTTTAAGGCCTGGCTCCAGACTAAAGTATACTAAACCTACTACTGGGGTAGAGGAACAATTGTGGAAGGCCAAAGAAATAAGTGCAGAAATTCCTAGTGCCAGAAAGAAAAGAAAAGAAATTCCTAATGCCTTTTTTCATGGGATTAATACAAAAACATTGTCTGCCTTTGCCTGAGCCCATTATGCAGGGCACTACTGACACATTTATTTTATTGATCCAATACGCATGAGTGCTACACTGATATTTATCACTAGACATGATGGCTTCTTATAGAAATTAATATGTATTCTAAGAACTGCTTTAGCCTTGTTATTGCCCATGCAGAATTCTTTCATGTTTGCATAGATTATATTCAATAGTCAACAACTAATTTTCTAGGCATCCAGAGTTTCTTTATTTAGGATGTGCTGCAGTGATAGATAAAAAAAAAGAAAAAACCCAGAAGATTGAGTCCCTGCCTTTAAAGAACCTATGTTTTAATAGACATTCTCTGGAGAAAATAACTCAAGAATAATAGCAAACACTCAAGTATTAAACTGAGGACTGTAGTCCTGTGTTGCCCCTCATGGTGGGGAGGGAGGCACGTATAAGGAGTCTAGACTATATGCTTGCTTCTCAAGAACTCCCAGTTATGTGAGGAAGCTAAGACATAAAAGCATGAAAATTAAAATTAAAAAAACAAGAGTTGGGGTGCCTGGGTGGCTCAGTCAGTTAAGTGTCTGACTCTTGGTTTCAGCTCAGGTCATGATCTCGGGGTCATGGGATTGAGCCCTGCGTTAGGCTCTGCGCTCAGCGCAGAGTGTGCTTGAGATTCTATCTCTCCCTCTCCCTCTGCCCTCCCCACCCCCCCCTCTCTCAAATAAATAAATGAGTCTTTAAGAAAACAAGAGTTAAGGAGTGATCGGGGCGCCTGACTGGCTCAGTCGGTGGAGCATGTGACTCTTGATCTCAGGATCATGAGTTCAAGCCCCACGTTAAGTGTAGAACTTACTTTAAAAAAAATTAAAAGAGTTAAGCAGTGATCTGTCACAAGGAAGTACAAGTTGAGTTGCAAGATAGCAAAAAAAAAAAAAAATCAAAGAAAAAAATTGAGTTGGTTGCCCTAAGGCAATAGGTCACAAAGGACAAAAGGCCACCGGTGTCCTTTTCTTACTTACCATCGAGTTAAAGCGTTTTAGAACCCATCGAATGCTACTACTTTTCTGACCAAAGCATTGACAGATCAATTGGTTATAGTGATCTAAGAGTTTATATTTCCACCAAAGAGGTATAGTAACTAGCAAATGACTAATGGAAATACTGTCTCTAAAAGTCAAATTTTTTTTTCCAGAGGGCTGATATAGCGGTTGCTCCACTCACTATAACCCTGGTTCGTGAAGAAGTCATAGATTTCTCAAAGCCATTTATGAGCCTGGGCATTTCCATCATGATAAAGAAGCCTCAGAAGTCAAAACCAGGTGTATTCTCATTTCTGGATCCCTTGGCTTATGAAATCTGGATGTGCATCGTCTTTGCTTACATTGGAGTCAGCGTAGTTCTTTTCCTAGTCAGCAGATTCAGCCCCTATGAATGGCACTTGGAAGACAACAATGAAGAACCTCGTGATCCACAAAGCCCTCCTGACCCTCCAAATGAATTTGGAATATTTAACAGTCTTTGGTTTTCCTTGGGTGCCTTTATGCAGCAAGGATGTGATATTTCTCCAAGGTTTGTTTCCATGTCATACCCAATGCCTCCTTGCATTCTGTGGCCATGATCCATTCATGTACATCTGGTATTCACCCATCTCAAGTCCAGATTTCTTTCATTTAACATTCCATCCAACAACAAATTATCATCAAGCCATTTTGTTTGCTTGCATCCATAAAGTGAGTGTGTTTTGGTGTTGTTCTGAATGTCCTTCATGCATTTCTATGGTATTGTATAGTTATATCTATTATAGCAAACATTTGGACTCTGGATAAAGGCAGCATTATCAGCTAATATTAATATTATTTGGATAAAGCTAATACTAAATCTTGATCAGATCAATCAGGCATGGTTTCCTCCTTAAGTGAGCTAAAACATTTTCTCATTTGTCTAGAGATGGGATCTAGAAAAAATTTGAAAGAATATAGAACTCTTCTTAAAAGCCCTCCTACTTTCCCCTTTCACTGTCCTACCTTTTTCATTTCACTCTTAGACTGCCTAGAACTATTCATTGTAGTATCTCGCCCAAGTTTCATAACTAAAACTATAAAAGTACTGAAAGAAAACATAAGAGAAAAAAAAAAGAAAACCTAAGGGGAAGTCTATATGATCTCGGATTGGACAAAGAGTTTTCAAAACACAAAAAAGAACAATCCATTTTTTAAAAATTGACAAACTGGACTTCATTAAAATTCAAAACTTTCACATTTCAAAAGATATCATTAAGAAAATGAAAAGACAAGCCACAGACTGGGAGAAAATATTAGCAAATGATACATCTGATAAAGGACTTATATCCAGAATATATAAAGATTTCTTGCAACTCACTATAAAGAAGACAACCCAATTTTTAAGACGGACAAAATATTTGAATAGACCTTTCCCCAACGAAGATATACAAATGGCTAATAATCACATGTAAAGATGTTCAACATCATTAGTCATTGGGGAAAAGCAAATTAAAATCACAGTGAGATACCTCTATATATCCTCTAGAATGGCTATAATAAAAAAGACAGTACCAAGTGGTGGCAAGGATGCAGAATGACTATAGCTCTTATCCATTAGTAGGGTGAATGCAAAATGCTGCCACCAAATAGGAAGACAGTTCCACAGACTCTTATAGTTAGACACACACTTAAAATATGACACGGCAATTCTACTTATTTACTGAAAAGAAAACCTATATCACACAAAGACTTATAAATGTTCATAGGAGCTTTATAAAAACCAAAAAGTGGAAACAACCCACATGTCCATCAACAAGTGAATGGATGAACACAATGTGGCATATCCATCCAATGGAATACTATTTGGCAATTAAAAAGAACAAGCTACTGATATGCTACAACATGGATGAACTTTGAAAACATGATGCTACATGAAAGAAGCCAGACACAAAAGGCCACATATTATATGATTCCATTTATTGAATTCTGTTTATTGAATGTCCCTTATTGCATTGTTCCATTTGTCCAGGATAGGCAAACCCATAGAGACAGAAAGTCTCTAGGGACTTAGAGGGAGCAGAGTGAAGCTAAGAAGGATGAGGATTAGGCTGAGGCAGGCAAGGCTGCGTACAGCAAGCACAAGGGGCAAATTCAGTATTTAAAATTCTGATATTTGTTCATCATGGCTTTTTTGAATTAATCTTGATTTTCTTAAAAATATTGCACTGAAATGTTATTTATCTTGATTAATGAGATTTTGGTACCCCTCTAAATTTTGTGCATGGGGTAAAAGCCTCACTGGTCTCACTCTCGTCTTGGCCCTGTCAGGATTAAGCACAAATGAGCATGAAGGAACTTTTCAGGGTGAGGGAAATGTTCCAAAACTGGATTGTGACGATGGCTGCACAACTCTTAAGTTGACTAAACTCATTCATTGTACACTTACATTGGTGAATTTGATGAAATGCAAATTTTATCTCAGCGAAGCCATTGAAAATATTGAATGTGAATGTCCTGGACCTCGCCCACTTATTTTAGTGGTAATTCACCTAAACAAAAACAGTGTTGAATTCATAATCATAAAATATTGTAAGCAAATGTGGTATCTTTAAAATCAGTGGGGGGGGGGAATTATTTATTTATTTTTAAATTATATTATTATTTATTTTTCTGAAATAAAAAGTTGTACTTTTGGCAAAATTGAACATTAATCCAAATACTGACTAGAGTCCATTATACAAACATATGGGGATTTTCATTTAGAATATAAGGACTCAGGAGGTCACCTACTGTGGTTTTACAGCATACTTCATTTTAAGATTATCCACCTGGAGCACAAAACATTTCAAATGAAGATTTGCAGCATAACTCATGGGTAACCATCTTCAAATTTCTAATGTAACGTGTATGGGGCAAGCTTCTTTTGTCTAAGTCATACCTTTTGCCACTCTCAATCTGCTTGGTCAGATACTCCAAATGATTTCACTCCCTGTTCCTTTTGTGCTTATAATGTGTATCATTTTGTGATACCATCTGGGAGTTCATTTATTTTGCTAGTTTCTTTTTTTTCTTATTTTTTTAAAACGTTCACTTAGAGACGAGGGTTCTGAACAATCCTTAATTGAGTGATTTTTAACATGGCTGATAATCTGTGTTGAGGCAATGCTAAAGAGTCATTAAGGCTAGAGATTTTATCGGTTTCTCTAAGTGAATTTTCAAAACTAAATTTGTGATATCCCCACCGGAGTGCTACATACTACTCTGTATACTCAAACAGGACTCTTCAAAAGCTATCTGTTTTTAGAAGTATTTATGCATATTGCTTCATTAAGTACTAACTTAAAGATGATGACCTGAAAGTGACAAGCTGGATAGATTTTTTTTTTTTGTAGCAGAATTTAAGCTACAAATCCTTTTTTGTTTCCCAGGATACATATATCATGACACTGCACTAGATACTGTCATATAGAGCAATGGCTTTCAAACTTTTTGACCATGTCCCTCAGTACGAAATACATTTTCCATCATGAGTCGGTGTGTGTGTGTATGTATGTATGTATATATATATATATATATATATATGTATATATATAAGCATCACCAAACATTACCCTTACAGCATGCCATGCTGTTTTAAATGCTGGTTGCAACTCAACCCAGCAGTGGGACCCACAGGCTATGGAATAACACCAGTCTAGAGTAACATATATTCCCCCTTTTGTGCTTTTGCGTAATAAATTATTACTCTGTATATTTTCTACCAAATGGATGATCCCTCTTTCAATATTGTCTTTTGTGTCCTTCAAAGGAGATTATATCTTTAAGCCTTTTGATAAAATTTTATACATTGTAGCATACGCATTTCTCCTTGTCTTGAGAGCTCTATTGGTTATATATTTGTGCTCAATTGTATAACAGTAATTCCACTGAAATGTGCTTTTCTACTAACAGATTTCGAAATTCCTGATAGTGACATAGTTGCGCTCTAAGATTCATGGTTTCCTTGACAGCAAATTCCAGTGTTATACTTTATTTCTGTTTAATGGCCACACTTAGAAGGCAGACTCTCCAGAAAGCGCCGAATGTGAACATGCATTGCACACTCTGACTTTTCCCAAAATTGAAGCAATTCAAGGAATTATAAGAGACCACATTTTAAAGTAGAACTATCAACTATCAGAGCAGGAGGAGATGTCAGATAAATTAACCCAACTGCTTCTGTGTCCTGAGGACAGAGGGGAAACAGCCTTCGCTGAGCTCCCACCACGTATGGGCGCTTTTCCTCCATTATCCTGTGGATTTTAATCCTCCAAACACTGCCGCCATGTGCTTGGTTTTAAGTTGAAGAAGGTGGCGCTCGGGGTAAATAATTGGCCCAGTCACACAGCTAATGGCAGAGCCCATATTCAAACCTAACTCCAACTCCACACCCTATGCCATTCCACTTCATGCTGCTTTTTTCACAACAGAGACAAAAGAACCCTATGCAGAGAGATACTGTGGTGGAGGTCAGGATCAAGGGGTTTTAAGAGCCAGCAGTATAACTGTTCCCACTACCACACACTGCCTCCCACTCCCGACCTGAAGGTGCATTTGCTTGTTCCATTCTTTTCCTCATGTGCGTGCCCAGGACTATTTTCCAGTCTCCCGACCTCCGATGAAACTCTGCCGGCGCCCGGGCTGTTAAAGAAAGTTTTAGGCAGTGAGCACTTAAAATGCTGCCGGGTGTGGGTCCACTCAGAGTAAAAGAGTGGGAAATCAGCAGTGAGACAGCATGCGGAGCGTCATTGTATTTCCATCAAATAAAGGTATTGTCAGGGGCTTAGAAGCTTAAAGAGCCCGTGTCAATATTAGGTTTGATATTTTCAACTACTCCAGTTGTTTGGAGTGAACAATTCAGCTAGAGGCTGAATTGCCTTTAGAGAGGCTAATCAAGGTGATCAGCTGAGGTTATATCCATATACAAACTGATTTGTTTGGGGCAGTCGGGAGAAGAAATTATGAGGAGATTCCACTCAACCCTCTTGCGCCAGAGGGGGATGGGGAGATCGGCAGTGGGTGTAGCCAGATGGAGGTAGCACGTAGGGGTTAAGTACGCGGGTGCGGGATTTAGTCTCACTGGATTCGCAATCAGCTTAGGAGTTGTGTAACTTGGGGCACGTTACTAAATCTGGCTAAGCCTCAGTTCCTCATCTGTAAAGTGTAAAGCATAGTACCTGGCATACGTACAGTAAGTTCTCAGTAAAGGATAGCCATCCTCCTTATTAAACTGGCTGCTCTTCACCACCCTAATTTCACAAATACTAACAGTTAATATTTTACTTGCATGTGAGTCCCTAAAACTCCTTGGGAATACAGTTGAAATTGTAGGCAGTGCCACATAGCTGATTCCTGATGAGAAATAACCAACAACTTGCCTTCTTGAATCCATATAGTACCCTCCTTAAGGATTACAGCTCGTGCAAATGTTTTGATTGTATATTCTATAATGATTTACTGATATTGACAGAACGTTACAATTTTTTAAATCTGTCATTTATTTCCTTTGTAAAACTTGGATAGAACCTTACTGAGCAGTCCAAAGTCCGAGTCCTTCCAGACAAATGCTCCCCCTGCTGACTCTCTTCGAAGCTGCAGGGCCATCTGAGGGCTAACTAAGTTGAAAATGGGAGGATTGGGGGAATTCTAGCCGAGAAACTGGAGGGGACACGCTAACTTGAATCTGATTACTGTGTGCATATTGTTCCAAAGGCATTACTCTTCTCTAATTCTGCAAATTATCAGAGACTTGAGAGGAGCAGGCAGGGCATCTATCCAGGTTAGTTGACATACAGATCTTTTTGTCAAACGGAAAATACAAGCCAAATAATAAAAGACACGAAGGGTATGAAATGAATGGGACCAAAGACTACAGGATTTGGGAGCTCCATTTTAAACAATAGCCTTTCCTTTGCTGATGTCTGACCAGAGTCTCATCCTACTGCAAATTCCCTTCAAAGTAGTAGTGATGTGGGGATCAATTAATGATGTAATAGCAGAATTTTTATTGCAACCATTTTATGACTTTTCTGGCTGAAGGCCATAGTTCTCAGTCTTCGGGAGATGGTTTCTTATTCCCATCAGAAAATACTATACGAGCCAAAGATTGATTCTGCACATTTTTTAAAAATCTGTCATAGAATCGGCATTGAATAGAGTGTAGAAAAGACACATACTTTGGAAGAAAGAATGGGGCGAGAGAGTGTGATGAAGAGTTTGTGCACAAGAGAAGTGGTCACAGTTTCAGCTCTTGATCTTGCAAAGCTAGTAAAGTGCAGATTTCAAAATTTACTTACAGGCTGAAGGTTATAGCACATAGCTCACTTTTATTATTATTCCCGAGGTCATAAAATACATTTTATTATTAACTTGGAAACTCTACTTCCGTATGATTACAGATAACAAGAGCGTTGTATATTATTTTGTGGTGTTTTATGTCGTTTTTCTCTTGTTGCTAATCTACTTTCATTCACTTCCTCTTACATTTCTTCAAAAGGTACGATATGCTCCTTATAATGCATTTTTATAAATACTAAATGTGCAGCATTTTATAGCCATTTCATTATGCCAACCTCAAAATCTGTCTTGTGCAACAAAACTATTTGAAATGAATGTTAAACATTTTGAAGCTGCATTAATGGAGGGGAAGAAACTGGAAAATGACAGGTCTTTTTAACTCAACTATAAAGTCTTGTCTTGTTTTAATAGATCCTTTTAAAAATGTCATGGGGCTGACCCATCAGTCACTTTTTATATAGCCTCTGTGTGAAATGTGGGTTATTAAATGGCTCTAGTTTCATTAATGAGAAAAGGGAAATGTAAAAATTCTTACAGAGCTTCTTCCCTGTGAGTTCCACTGTACCTTTTCTCAGTGAAAGGATTTAGGCATTCATGCCATAAAGGAAAGAAAGCGGTAGAAATTCCACCAAGACTCTTGTCAAAGCTACTGCTGCCTTGAGGGGAAAATGTTGAATGCAAGCTTGTGCATTTCACACAGATTCCAAGGAAGCTCCTTTTCCATCTCTGCTGAGGCTTGTGGATACTATTATACCATTTCTATGTGAATATTCACCAAAATTCTCCATGCACATAGGAATATCATCATATTAACCACACAGTTGCCCGAGTCAATAGCCATGTATACAAGAGGCCACAAAAATGACCATTTTGCATTTAGGTTTATTTTCAGTCATGTCAACAGCCAATCTCAGCTAAGTCCTACAGATCAACCACATGATTATCTGGGTCACCTATTATGGTGGCCAAATAACCAGATTAGCATGGGCAGGCTTGATTTTAGATCATACAGACGCAGTCCATTAGCCTTGATAGAATGGCACAAGTGCAATTTCCATAAATTACTTTATTTTTCTCCCCATTTCAAGTAGACAATGCATAAACTGCCACTGGTATTTGCAGCAGCTTAATACACCCCTTTCCATACCAAACCATGATTCTGGAAATACTCCAAAATCAGTTCTCCTCTTGGTCTCAGGAAAACCCCATCATTCCAAATAAGGATAGCTTCCCCAGTTCCATTCCAAATGAACAACAGATAATAAACAATAATTATCCAAACATGTTTGCTTTTCCTACAACTATAATTCTCAGTTATTGTCAGAAAATTGCATCATCTGTAATGTATACACCATTCTGGATTTTCTTAGACGAACTATGACTGTTTTGTAGCACCAAAATGTGGGTATTTCTTTCCTATTTTCTAAGTATAGTTTATTTATTTCCTATTTCTCCTCTCCATGCCTCAGTCTCTTTATCTGTAAAATGCCTCTGTTTTCTAATCTGCAAAAATAGTACCTAACCATAGAGAGGAAGGATTGAAAGAGTTGACCCATGTGAACCCAAAGCAATCAGAACAGTCTGGAAGGGCTCAGTAAGGGTTAGCTATTATTGCTATCATTTTTATAACCCTATTACTACAGATGCTACTTTGAAATATTAATCTTTTCTGTGGTAAAATTATTGCCAGAGTCAGATCAGTCGAGGATAAATTAAATATATATGGCAACAATGAAGAAAGACTATAAAGGTCTAAATTCCTAACTGAAATATCCTGTAAACGTTTAGCATTTGGACACATTCTTTCTGCCTCATCCCAATGTTTTTACCTCTTCTGATTAAGAGGGACATGTTCCCAGAGGAGATACTGAGAGAATATAACCCTTAGTTAGAGAAATCCGTTGCAAAGCAGATTTTCACATCTGAAAGGCAGAAAGTGTGTTCAAAAATAAAGAAGGAAGGGTGGTTTTAAGCATCCAGGAACCAATAGGAATGACAGACTTCAAAAAATCAAGTAGCTTTGTTTTAGTTCATCAATAAAGAACACCATTTATCAAAACACCTGCCAAAACTATTTGACCAGAATGTAAAGTCAAAAACAACTGAATTTTCCAGAGGCTAATAAAAGTTTATCTTGGGACACGGGAATTTAAATTTGCTTCGAAGTGGTCAAATGCCAGTACAAACAGAGACGAGCTTGATTTGCCGGCTTTCAGCCCAGAACTGCCCTCTTTCCCACAGAGCCTGGGGATGTGCCAGGCCCCTGCGCCGATTCTTCCCTTCATGACAGAGTGGGTTCTTTTCCTGCGAGCTTTTCTGGGCATGGGAGAGCAGAGCCTAATCAGGATGGAGCTCTGCCACGGAGAGAACTAGCCTAGAGAGAATGTGGCGATGTTTTATAAAACCTAGGGACCAGATTTTCATTTCTGCAGCCAGAGCCAGCCTTCAGCAACACTGTGAAGGAGACGAAGCTGCCTCTGAACGAGCCGAGCCGCATCCCATCCCTGAGCATCCGGGGCCCTCCCTGGCCCCTGACTCCCCACAGACCCTCTCCCTGGGCAGCATTCACGGTACAGGACCGTTGCTCCCAATCCCGGCTGCACCAGCGCTTTATACATATGCTACTGCTTCGGCCTAACCCCGGCCCCGGAGGGTCTGATTCAGTTGGTCCGGGGTGGAGCCCAGGCATTTTTGTGCATGTTTTGTTTTCTTTCATCTCAAGCTTCCCAGATGATATTGATGTGCAGGCGGAGTCGAGAATCATTGAGGTAGGAGAACAATATTCCTCAGCTTGGTCTGCAGACCACTGCAATCACCAGGGATGCGTCCGAAGCTCAAGTTCTTGAACACTCAGATATATCTGAGTCTGCGTGTTCACAAACACCCCACGGAGTGCCAAAGGCGTGGCTACCTTTAAAGAACCAAATGTTCCCCTGTGACAACTCACCCGTCTTCTGTCCCATTCTCTACTAATTGGATTGGCTCATCCAAGATCACGTGATAATAGGTTCTATTGAAGTTACTGGTTAACATTTTGACCAAGTCTTCTAAAGAAAACGCAGAGGGTGATTCCAATCCGAAGAATTTCTATGGCAGGCTGGTGAGGATGGTTTTGTTTGGTTATTGGGGGTGGGGGGAGGTAGGGGTGGAAACAAACCTTTTAGTGCCTGGCAGATTCTATTATACAGGTAGTTCCCTACTTCACTTGAGGCCTGTCCTGTGTGCTAAGGCTTGGTTTGTAAAAGGGGAAAGTTTTGATCCCTGGAGTTAAGCTCCTGAGCTCCACTAGCCATTTCTATTAAGATCCTAATAAATATTATCTCATGGCTCCTTGCCTCACGGGTGACCAACTCCACAAAATGGCAAAGTCTTTATTAAATTTACTAAACTCAGAGTGAAGAGTACCCCTCCACTGACCCATTTCTCTTCAAATATGTGAGGCTTTTTGACTCTGTGTTTCTCCCATGACATCAGCTTACATCAGTGGTTCTCAGCCTTGGCTGTACCCCGTAATCACCTGGTGAGCTTTAAAAAATGTATGTCTGGGTCCCACTTCCCAGGCTCTGATTTAACTGGTGTTGGGTAGGCCTGAGCATGAGATTTTTTTAATGAAGATCCCGGGTGATCCTACCGTGCAGGCTGAGAACCGCTGGCCTTAAAGGAGGTGGGAGAGCTCACACGGGAAGAGAATCTGATAAGTACAGTTCTTACATGTAAGCAGGAGCTGGTAAGAAGATATCTTTCCTAGGATTTTAAAAAAAATCCTGCTTTACAAGCCATAAATGCCCAAAGAGCATTATCCATGTACCATCATCATCTGTCGTCATGACATGGAATGCTGTGAACTTGTTACTTTGGTTTGGTGTTTTAATTCCCTGACATCATCTACGTCAACTATCCTGAAACCACTTCTCTTTCCAGAAATAAAAATACGGATTTTTTTAAACTGAAATTCGGCTCCTCCGGGTCTGGATTGGTCTTTGTTTTGTCTCGTAGGTCGCTGTCCGGGCGCATTGTCGGAGGGGTTTGGTGGTTCTTCACCCTGATCATCATTTCGTCCTATACTGCCAATCTCGCTGCTTTTCTGACTGTAGAGAGAATGGTCTCTCCCATAGAGAGTGCTGAAGACTTAGCTAAGCAGACGGAAATTGCGTATGGGACCCTGGACTCCGGTTCGACAAAAGAATTCTTCCGAGTAAGTGCTTTGCCATGAATTGGGCCGGCTGCTTTTTATTTTATCGTCTTCTCACAAAGGCAAATTCACAGGGGTTTTAAAGGAGGGTGGGGAAAGTGTGGGGATGTTATCAAAGCAGAGCGTCTTAAATACAGCACGGCTTGGTTGGTGACCCAATTCGTTGTTGTTGACAACTAAGACTTGTGTGCAGCATTACAAGGGGCATATTGAGAGCGCAAGTCTCGAATTCCCAGGTTTGAATCCCACCCCTGCCACACAGGGATTGTTTGTCCTTGGGCAAGTCATTTCACTTCTGTCAGCCTCCATCGCCTTGCTTGAGAAATGAGGGGACTGAACTAAATAATATGCGTTGTCCTTTCTAGCTTTTACAAAAGCATGATTTTATTATGTCTCAGCAGTTCACAGAAGGTAGGTACATGGCTCTGCCTAAGACTCTGAGGAGTGACAGACTCTCAAATTGCATATTCTATTTTAGACAATGGTTTCCTATTGAAATGTTTTATGCTTGTTTCAAGGATTCATATCCATGCTGATAATTCAATTTTCAGGGAGGCTGGTAATTATTTAAATTTCTTGAGTACACTTATTCCACGCCCACCACCCCATCATCGGCCAGATCTTAGTGGGGAAACAGCAAGGTGTTCATGAGCAGAAGTTAGTAAAGCTGCATAAACACTGCCAAGAGGAAAGATGAAAGGAGATCGAAGCAGAAAATTATAGAAAGAAAATAGGATGGACAAGCCACTTTTACATAAACTATCAAGATCTTTGTTCTATACCAACTGAACTATAGGAAAGGCCACCAGCGGAGTGTTTAAGAACTCAAATGTTGCTTTAGTTGCCCCAAGCAGGAAAGTATGGTGATTAGAAAATGAGCCCATTCTATACATTACCACTGCCGGCTACTGTCGCCAGTAAAACTGCTTATAGCAATGATCCAGAAGCCACTTATGTAGTAGGTAAAAGGGAAACACTTAGTCTCTCCAGCCAATAATCAAGTTATTGGATGGTGGGTCTAATTACTGACCTTTCCTCCAAGTCCAGGGTAAATAGATGTTGGTTCAAAACCAGCTTATTTCAAGAAATCAGTAAGAAATAGATTTCTGCATGTATTATCGTGAGCTTTGTCCAATTGCTTCCTGGGAAACCAGGAGTACCTTTCTTAAAATTATAGCAATTAGCTAAAAACTGTTTTCATTCCCTAAAAAAGAAAGCATTAGTTCTGGGATGCTTTCAAGAATTCTCAATGGCTCTGGATATCCCTTTCTCACTTCTACCACTGTTTACCAAGCAGATCAAAATCCCCAGCCAGGGAGAGGGGCCCAGTATTGGAACCACCAATGAAGACCTTTTGGAACTAAGCTGGCCTTGACCCTCACCACTATGGCAGTCCCAGAAACTTATCTCGGAATAATCCCCTGCCTGCATGAAATCATTCGCATGTTTCAGGGCAGCAAGCCAGGGATTTCCATCTGCTGAGTAGTCAGCACATAATCAGCTCCATGGCAAGCTGGTTTTGGTATCAACCTTCAACAGCATCCCAATCGGCATCAAGTTGCTGTATGAGGTAATTGATCACTTAGGCTATCAAGACACCAGACTTGGACCCTCTGATAAGAGATACGTGTTCCATTGGAAAGCATTTTACCTTCAAAAACGATTAGAAATTAGGAAGGTGTGCTTTAAATGGTAATCGATAGATGGCATCAATTCCCGTTAAGCTTTCAAAGACCATTCATCCATACTGCCAGCAAAAGACCTCTCTGGGAAGATTGATTAGCATTAAGACTGGAAAGCGTGACCAAATAGTCATTGTCCCCATACCCAGACCCCACCCCCGCCCATGCATTTTGTGTCTTTCTCAAAAACCAGGAAAGTGTCTGCTAATCCATTCAATGATGGTTTCATTAAAAAGCATCATATTACCAGAGCCAATTTTAATCAACATCCAATTCTGAACATAGCTATTGCCACATTCTAATTGGTTTGCTGTTTCTAATGTTCACCAATTCCTAGTGACCTTTACAGCCAATGAGTAATTCGTATAGAAATGGAGTTGTTATGAAAATCTGATTAGAGAGGGAGCTGGATATTTCTAGGTATAAGAAAATGGAAATCATTTTCTAATTCTCATGCACCACTTTTCTTTTTCTCCAAATGGTCGCTGGTGACAGCATTAGGATTCTGTGGGGAAGTTCTTTCAGGCAGCACACAAAGGTTGATGATCTAAGAGTGAAACTGAGCAATCTAGAAAAATCTACTTTTTTAGCCTGCTTGTATTGAAAATGTCACGTAGACCTAACAAAGGGTAAGGTTGGTATTCATATAATCAGGGCGGGGGGGTGCCAACGGAAGCCATCTGTCCTCTCCATGTTCTCCACTCCACCCTCCTTGAACCACATCGATCAGAGAAGACAGCCAGCCAGAACACATCATCTCTCACTCAGGGACTTCACTGAACTAGCTTGTCACCACCTTCCCCCACCCCCCAATGATCTCAAGGCAGTTTTAAGAACAGTTACTCCACCATGCTAAGAAAAAAGTGAGGCCCTCCAATGGCATGCCTTCTGAACTTTAGAGAATAAAACGAGATCACATGCAACATTTACAAACATAACATGAGCTCATTTCTTCCGATTTTCCTACATACTAAAACCTCAGGGACCAAATGGTAATACCATAAAACAGCCTGGGGCCAACCCTCTAGTTCTTCCACTAAGAGAGAGAAATAAATAAAATACAATTCCTTTCTAATTGCCCTGCAGACATTTTTACTCATCCTGGATAAGGCTGCCGTTAAAATGATGGTATTTTAAAATGATTCCTTTGTTTCTCTCATTTTCCAGCTATCCTTAGCTGTTATCTGACAATCACTTAAAGTCACGGGCACAGAGAGGCCTGTTCCATCAGGAAAGGTTGGGGAGGGGGCGGGACTGAGCAAAATGCATGCAGCTGGAAGAGACTTCTGAAATATTACCATCAGCCCTCTTGGCTTGCAAACTGATTTCCTTAGACAGCAGCTCCAAAACGAAATGTCCCAACCACAGTGGAAGTACCCATGCTAACAAGCCAGTTGACAGCTTTATTGTCATTGCCCAGGAAATGCCGCTATGATTTCGAAAGCTGCGCCGAAATGATCATTCTCCACTAGGTTTTGGAAATTTAACCTGTTACAGACTCATGTTAAGAAAATAGCACTGGGAGAAAAAGCAATTCCAACATTCTCTCTGCCTTCAGACCCCTAGCAATATAATGAGATGACTATGATGCTTGATTTCTTTTCCAGAGACTTGGCCGAATCCCCACTGAAGGTAGTTCAGGGGATTAAAGGAGGTGTTTTTGTTTTTTTTTTTAAATGAAATGTTTAATATGAATTTGAACCCCTTTAAGAAATTAAACATAAAAGGAGAGGAGTGGAAAGAGAGTGAGTTGCTCTAGGGCCCTGGGCAGGACAGAGGAATTGAACTTCATCTGGAGACCACGGTCCTCTGACTTGCAGACGTTGTACGCCCCGTGTAGCACAACTGAATTACTCACGGAAATTGTTTTGTTTGAACACAGGACTCTTTGACTAATTGTCATTGGTCATTTAATTTTTTTTTAATTCAGGCTGCAAATGAAGAGCCCTCCAAACTGATTTGAAAAACAGTCCCTACTAATAGTATTTAGATCCTGCTTACACATTCAGAATCTCTCTCTCTCCCCCAGCCTCTCTCTCACACACACACACACAAGAATTTTCAATTGGAGTCCACATGTCAACATTTCTCAGTTACCTATTATAGGGCTTTTGAAGTATATGGGGAAAGGGGAAAAGTCTCCCCACAGATGCGCCTCTGCTGAGTATGTTGACCTTTTGACATGGTCAAGAAAACTAACCATGAATCTTTATGCTTTGTTACAACTGAGCTATGCACACAACAGACCTCCCTAACCCCATAACCCAACCCCTAGCCTTAGGAAACATGTCAAAATATAAAATCCTTTTGTTAAAAATTTTCTCACCAAGTACTATGATGAATTTGCAATTTTGAAAGACAATATACTTGGACAACTGCAACCAGATTTAATTGGTTTGAAGACACATATGATGAGACCAAATGTTTGAGGACACAGCCAAACCACACACTAGGGACAACATAATAGCAACAACCAGAGATGAGTTGACATCGAGGGATGGCAGGTCAGAGACATTTGTGGTACATACCACTTGACAGTTTTTCGAAAGAAAAATTTGTCTTTTAATTTTGACATGGCTATTTGGATGCCACCTTATCAAAAACAGTCTTATTTTCCTATGTCGTACACGACAAGACTCCTAGACCTCAGAGGTCAAGACTGGAGGTAGAGGCGCAGGCACAAGGAGAGGATGCTGAGGCCTGACCACATAGGCCTCTGGAAGAGGGAAAGGTACACCCAGACAGCTGTTGGCTTTTCCCAGCCCTTGGCAGCCAGGGATCTGTGGTTCTGTAGGTCTTCCTTGCATGCAAGTCTTGACCTGGGTGGAAAGGACACCTTCCAAGGGAGTGGAGGTTGGTTGACCTGACAACTGCCCACAACTGACAACACACCTAATATCTGTCTCCAAGAGAAAGGAGATAATGTAGCAATGAAGACAGGCTAATAATAATGCCCTAGATTCTACTGTGTATTCTTCACTCTTTCAATAATAACTCTTTTTTTGAGCATACTCCATATACCAAGTTCCAGGCTAAGCACTGAGGCTCCATCTCCGTACACAAAATTAAATTTCTGCCTGTCTTTGGCCAAATCACATGAAAACACCTAGACAGGGTTTTCCACCATATTTGGAGGTTATTTCGGGGGACAGACTGACCTGAAATATAGGCATGTCAGGAAACTAGATGATCACACCTCCAGGGCAGCTGACAGTGTTTAGTTTTATGTTGCTCCTTCCCCGCACCTGCCAATCTGTGGGTACACCCCATGGTGAATAACAGTAGGGTTAATGATTCTTCACAACCCCAACACGAAAGTCA